TGCTGGATAGAGTCATCTTGGATGTAGGTCCTTGTCTTTCATGACGTCAAATACTTCTTTCCATCCCCTACTTAACTATAACATTTCTTTTGGGAAATCAGCTGATAGTCTTATGGGAACTCCTTTGTAGGTAGCTCTCCTTTCCTCTTGCCGCTTTTAAGATTCTCTGTTTATCTTTAATCTTAGGTAATGTCATTATGATGTGCCTTATTGTGTTCCTCTTTGGGTCCAATTTCTTTGAGACTCTCTGGGCTCCCTAGACTTCCTGGAAGTCTGTTTCCTTGGCCAGGTTGGGGAAGTTTTCCTTCATTATTTGTCCAAATTAATTTTCAACTTCTTCCTCTTGTTCTCCTGGCACCCCTATGATTCTTATGTTAGAACATTTAAAGTTGTCCCAGAGTTTTCTAACCCTCTCCTCATTTTTTTGAATTCTTGTTTCTTCATTCTGTTTCGGTTGGATATTTATTTCTTCCTTTTGTTCTAAATCAATGATTTGAGTCCCAGTTTCCTTCCCTTCACTGTTGGTTCCCTGAATATTTTGCTTTATTTCACTTTGGGTAAACTTCATTTGTTCCTTCATTTTGGAACTGACCTAAATCATTTCTGTGAGCATCCTGATTACCAGTGTTTTGAACTCTGCATCATATAAGTTGGCTATCTCCTTGTCACTTAACTTCTTTTCTGGAGTTTTGCTCTGATCTTTCATTTGAACCATCTTGCTTCATCTTGGCACACCTATTATGTTGTAGGGGGGCAGGACATTAGGTATTCAGCCATCCGAGGCAATCCTCTTTGCCGTGTTGTGGTGCTCTCTGTGAGAGAGGGGTTAGATAGAGAACCATGTGACTCGCTTGGCTCTAGCCCCACTATTTTTTTTAACTTTTTTTATTGTTGTTCAAGTACAGTTGCCTTCAATTTCCACCCCTTCTTCTCCCAACCCAACCATCCCTACTTCTCATCCTTGATCCTACCCCCCTTTGTTTTTGTGCCCTTTATAGATGTTCCTGTTAACCCTTCTCCTTTTTCTTGCTAATATCCCCTCCCCTCTGGTCACTGTCAGTTTGTTCTTAATTTCAATGTCTCTGGTTATATTTTGCTTGCCTGTTTGTTTTGTTGATTAGGTTACACTTATAGGTGAGACCATATGGTATTTGTCTTACCGCCTGGCATATTTCACTTAGCATAATGCTCTCCAGTTCCCTCCATGCTGTTTCAAGGGGTAGGAGCTCCTTTTTTCTGCTGTGTAGTATTCCATCATGTAAATGTGCCATAATTTTTTGATCTATTCATTTACTGGTAGGCATTTAGGTTGCTTCCAGCTCTTACTAGCCTCACTTTCCAATGAACTCTGCCACTTGAGACTGGGAGTTTGTCTCACCATAGCAGCCCCCACAGTAGTTTACAGTTAGCTTGAGTCTTTAGTTTCCCGTTCAGCCAGACCCTCCTCACTCGCGTGGTCTGCAGCCTTGCTGCGGGTTCTCTTTTCCCACCTGGATGCCCCTCTCCATCCCTCCTACTGGTCTGGCAAATATTTCTTTAATTCCGTGGTTGTCGGAATTCCGTGCAGTTTGATTTTCTGGCACTTTTGGTTGTTTATTGTTTTTTATTGGTTGTTATCTTCCTTTTGGTTATGCTAGGAAGCAAAGGGTTTTTATCTACACCTCCATTTTGGCTGCAACTCCCCCCAGTTGTAGTATTTTCTTAATAATTTTTTGTAGTTCTGTCATGTCCATTGTCACTTCTCAGTTGTTTTTTTAAGTTTTCTAATGTTCAATTATAATTATTCTTCTAAGATAATCAACTGCCACATAGGATGACTCTTTCCACAGCAATCTAAAATGCCATTTTTCTTAATATACACTTAGAAAATATATGTCTTTACCAATTTGGAGGAAACACAAAATCCTGATTGTAGGGTTTCTCAAATTATAATGTTTTTCCCAAACTGGATTCAATAAGAGCATGGAGCCATCATAGCCTCTTACACTTCTGCTTACATCAATGATCTGTTTTGGGACCAGGCTAGAGGCTGGCATTCCATTCAAAGAGTATGTTCTTCCTTCTGCTATAGCAGGGAATTGAAAAATGAGAAACCATAGTTGTCATCTGAAGAATTCTTTAACATTTGATTGTGTGGTTAATAGAGACCAAGGCTGTGCCTTGATTTTCTATTTGTGAAAGTCACACTTTAAGTAAAAAATTTCTTGCAGATCATCATATATTATCAGATATGGTAGAATTTTTATCGTGGTATCATGGTATCTTTTCAAAAGAAAAAGTTCTTCATAGGAGTTATTTTGTTTGTTGTATATTAAATGTCAATGATCACAGAAACTTCTGGCTTCTCTTCATTGTAGACCTGCATTGCTGAATATTTTGTTGCCTTGACTTCAGTTTCCTGAGGGGTCTTGGACAATGAGATATTTTTCCCCCACCCATTTGACCATAGTTTGAAATTTCTTTGATAAATACTAAGTACTTTCACTTCCCAAGGTATAAAGAATTCATCAGCTCTAAACTTATAAAGCCAGTCATCCAAAAGTGAAAGAGAAGAGACTGTAAGTCATCTCCTTTTGTTTCTACTTCTATGGTTTGGTGGGCCTCCACAGTTCTAGTATCTGTCCCATAACCTAATGTGGCTACTGCACATTACTCCAATGCTTCTTCCAAGGTATCTCCCCATGCATGTAACTAGACATCCCCTGAATGACCCAAATACTGATACTTTCAGTTGACTGGAGGATACTTGGCCTTGGTCACCTTCTGCTCCTCAAATTGTAGTCTCTATTATCTTCCTCTTCCTGCATCACGATTTCCTTCTCTTTCGTTTCTGACTTTATTTATTTAGATCCTCTCTCTTTTCATCTTGATTAGTCTGGTTAAAGGTTTATCAGTTTTGTCTTAGGTTTTTAGATTGTGCTTTGGTGTGGTCTGAAGCTTTCCACCAGGTGGCCTGACTCTGGGGCCTTCTGGGAGGTGCAGGCCAATATCAACCACTGCCTGCACCCTACCTAGATGTGTTACAAGGAGTTGTGCAGATGGTCACCACTTGTGCTGGCATTGGAGGTACCTGGAAGAGGTCAAGTTGTGAACTGGGGCCACTCCCACTAGTGCTGGGCCTGGGGTCACTTATCAGGAGGTATAGGGCACATTGAGGCCAGATGCTTCTTGTTGAAGGTTTGTTCACCTTGTTGATTCACCTTGAGGAGAATTTAGGAGAGTCTACAGCATGAGCCAAATTGGCCATTTGTATGTAAACAACACTGACGTGGCTTTAGTGGGCCTTCAAGTTGGGTGGGACAGAGTATTGGGGAATCACCAGGGCTGAGTTAACAGTGTTAGCCAGGGTAATGGAGACTCAGATATGGTGTTCACCTGTACCTTGACCAGCATGGCTAGGTCAGTCAGGTCCTGAGGGAAGGCAATGGGGGATTGAGAAATAAAAGGCAGAGTCAAAGTGGGGTCAGGTGGAGTCCCTTCTCTGGGATGCAGAGGAGGGAATTGTTTATTGGTGAAATCAGGCTGTGTATAATGAGTAAGCTTTGAAGCAGAGCATGAGAAAGACAAACCACAAGGCTAGGTACATTGTATTTTTTAAGAACATTTGCTGCTCCTTCTTGGTACAGTGATATAGCAAGCAGCCAAGCCATTCTTTTCTTACAACAACCTATCAGGCAGTCTTCCGTGGCCTAGGGCAGCTGTGCTGAGCCTGAGGCCTGCCTCCAACTCCCATGGCACACATTATCCTGCTTGGCTCTCCACAACCTGCACCTAAATGGGGAGGGCTCAGGAAAAGAAAAATGGCCTTTACCAGCATTTCTGTCTGGGAGAAAGCTGCCCCTCTAGCATTCACTCCAGTGATAGACAAGTTAGTTTTTCCCTGTATGTTTCAAGCTGCTGCTTCAGTGCTGGAGCTCAGAGTGAGTTAGTCTGTCAGTGAGTAAGTTCATGCACTGGCCTTTGAAGAGGAACTCCTGGGACTTCAGAAGCTATCTATCTCACTCATCCATAATCCCTGCTGGTTTTTACAGACAGAAGTTATGGGTACTAATCTTCCCTGCACTGGTATCCTGAGCTGGGGGCCTGGTTTTGGACTGGGAACCCTCTGCTGCTGAGATATTCCTCCTGACTTTAACAACCACATGTGGGTACGGGACCAGCCCATCCTGTGTATGTGCCCCTCCCACCAGTCTCCATGTGGCTTCTTCTTTGTATCCTTAGGTATTGGACTTCTGTTTAGTCTTCAGGAGGCTCTCAATAATGATTTTTTTTTGTAATTTATTTGTAATTTTTATGTGGTCATGGGAGGAAGTACAATGCTTTCCTTCTCTGCCATCTTGACCAAAAGCTCAAACAGTGCATATTTTTGGGAAATGATAATCAAGGACAATCTCTGGGTAATTTGTAGATTCTTATCATAAGCCCTGCAGGCATTTTTTACACCTTTCTGCCTACATCCCCATTTCTCAATTAAAGAAGACTAAGGCATGTATGTTTTGTTTTTTTATGGGGGAGGTTTTCACAATTTTTATTTTAAAGATTTTATTTATCCATTTTTAGAGAGGGAAGGGAGGGAGGGAGGGAGGGAGAGAGAGAGAGAGAGACATCAATGTGCGGTTGCTGGGGGTTATGGCCTGCAACCCAGGAATGTACCCTGGCTGGGAATCGAACCTGCGACACTTTGGTTCACAGCCTGCGCTCAATCCACAGAGCTATGCCAGCCAGGCACAATTTTTATTTATAATAACATTATTATATTTTACTCTTGTAGCTTTCCAGGATCTCTCCAATTAGTTAATAGTGGTGAAAAAAATTCTTAAAACAAAATAAATTTTTTTTTTCTTAAAATTTTTGTACAATGCATTCCTTTGTCTTGTTTAAAACCAATGGAAGGATGACTGTAGGTATGCACCTGTGGGACCCTGGGTGAGAACAGGAACATACATATGTATGTACCTGCTGCATAGGGGACCCTGGGTGAGAGTGTGCTTTTTCCACAGGTCTCAGCCACCTTTGCAGCCAGTCTGGTCAGCAGTCCAGCCATTGGAGCATACCTCTCTGCCAGCTATGGAGACAGTCTCGTTGTACTGGTGGCCACAGTGGTGGCTCTTGTGGACATTTGCTTCATCTTATTGGCTGTTCCAGAATCTTTCCCGGAGAAAATGAGACCACTGTCCTGGGGAGTTCAGATTACTTGGAAACAAGCAGACCCTTTTGCGGTAAATAAAATTATGGAAACACTTTTTTTTTTTTAGTTTTTCTTTTTTTTTTTAAGATTTTATTTATTTATTTTTAGAGAGGGAAGGGAAGGAGGAAGAGAGAGAGAGAAACATCAATGTGCGGTTGCTGGGGGCCATAGCCTGCAACCCAGGCGTGTGCCCTGACTGGGAATTGAACCTGCGACACTTTGGTTCACAGCCCGTGCTCAATCCACTGAGCTACACCAGCCAGGGCTGGAAACACTTTTCTAAGTATTCTAAGTCATGCAAATAAAAGAACATTTGTACAACCTCAAGCATCTCAGCAGTTATTAATCCATTTCTGTCTCCAGTAAAAGTACGAAAAAAAAATAATTACAAGGAAGGGATTGAGGTAGACTGTGCACCAGGGAATATATAGAATTGATATTCCTTACTCTAAGCATGTGGTTATCACAATGGAAGAGAGAAAAACTGTCTATTTAATTTGTCCCTGAGGAGGGAAAGAAGGTTTTTGTTTTGTCTGGGGTGTTTGTTTGTTTGTTTGTTTGTTGCATGGTGGTTTTTACTGCCTTTTAAACAAAATGTGAAGGTGCCCATTTGAAGTAGTTTTTATTCACTGAAATTCAAAAAGGATAAAAGTATTTGGTTTGACTAAAGTCCTTATTTTCTAAGTTGTCATAATACATCCACTTAGACCAAAGGCTTTGAAGTTGTTTTACAGATTGAATGGATTTTTTTTTTGTTCTCTAGAATGTTTTTTATTTTTTTTTGGCATGGGAGAACCTTATTAACATCTCAAAAAAGTACTTAGAAGAATAATTTTATCTCTCCCCTCTTGGTTGAAATTGTTCTTGAAGAAAATATGTTCAGAAAAAAATTAACCAGAGATTTGATTTTTGCTTATTATCTCCCAAGTTTACCTTTTAGGAAAAATACATGTGATGAGAAAACTAACTCATTAGAAATTCTTTTCAAAAACACCCCCTTAGGGACCCTGCTGATTCTATTTGTTCCCCATCTGTTTTGCTACATGAAGAAAGAAGGAAACCAGGCATACACCCACAGCTGGTCAGACCTCCCACCTAATTTGTCAGCTAGCTTACAGACAAATTGAATACTAACATGTTAAATAGAGTGAATTTATGTGTAACGAAACCCCTATCTGTTTATAGCTTTAAAGAAGTTGTATTATGAATGAAAAAGAGAGATGAGATTTTCTTAAATGATTCTGTAGCAGTGTGTTTTCAGGGTCTTTTTCAGGATGTGAATACCAGTATTGTTAAATAAAGATGAACAAGTGTGTGTATGTACATGCACATAAGCTGTAATATTTGAAATACATACTGCAGAAATTAGGAATTGTAATCTGCACAGAGAGATGGTGATATATTTAACGTTAAACTTTTCTTCCTTTTATAATCCATTCAACTTTCGTTATCCACCTTAACAATAAAGCCATTATCACAGAATATCAGTGACATTAGTTTCTATTTGCTCTTTTTTTAATTTTTCAGTTACAGTTGACATACAATATTTTATTAGTTTCAGGTGTACCTCCCTGTGATTAGACATAATATAACTTACTAAGTGATCATCCTGATAAGTTTTGTACCCATGTGACACCATGAATGGTATTAGAATATTACTGACTATATTTACTATGCTGTTTGCTTTTTATGTCTCTTTCTGCTTTTTCCTAGTCACTGAAGAAAGTTGGAAAAGATTCTACCGTCTTACTAATCTGCATTACCGTGTTTCTTTCTTACCTTCCTGAAGCTGGACAGTATTCAAGTTTTTTTCTCTATCTCAGGCAGGTGGGTAGTGGGTGTCTAGTAGCTTTTGAACATAAGGAAAATTAAGATTGGCATGTCTAAAGGTATTTGGGGAAAATTCTTGCTTCAAGATATAAATGTAAGTGCTGACATATAATTAGTAGGCAGGAAACCTTTAACACAATGATGTTTTAAAATATAGTAAAATGTTTACTGTGTAAAAAAATTCCTTGAAAATTATACATAAAGAAAATTAGCAGGAACAATTTGTCACAATGTTGTAAATCTTTATATTTTTAATATATGTTTATTTATTCTTAGAGGAGAAATGAGGGAGAAAGAGAGGTTGATAAACATTGATGTGTGAGAAAAACACTGATCGGTTGCCTCCTACACATGCCTCTGCTGAGGACCTGGCCCACCACCCAGGCACATGCCCAGACCAGAAATTGAACCAGCAACTTTTCGTTTTGTGTGAGGACACGCAACCAACTGAGCTATACCCATAAGAGTTAATGTTTTGAATCTTTGATAGTGTCCATTAAACTTTACAGAGAGGGAAAGTTTACTTCAAAGTACCCTGCCAGCTTGCTGAGCCATCCTCAGTAGGCCACAGCTCGGTGTTGCTGTGGATTCCAAGGTGGCTTACAAACAATAATCAAAGTAATCTTTTGTCTCCTCTGATTTTTTATTGTTTAAAAACTTATACTTTACTTTGTCCCCTCAAAAAGAAACTGACTTATGACATTTTTTTTAAGTTCTTTTTTCCAGCTTTTCTTTCAGGTTTCTGAGATTGCTGAGACCTGAGTCGCTTTCCATTGTAGTCCAACCTTGCTCTTTTACTGATTTCACTGGAACTTCTGTTGGTTTACTCCACTTGTCAGAGTCCTCCTTAGATAAATTCCTCTATTTTGGAGATATTTTTATTTTTATATATTTTTTAAAGATTTTATCTATTTATTTCATAGAGAGCAGAAGTGAGGGAGAAAAGAGGGAGAGAAATGTCAATGTGTGGTTGCCTCTCACACGCCCCTGAATGGGGACCCAGGCATCTGCCCTGACTGGGAATGGAACCGTTGACCCTTTGGTTCACAGGCTGGCACTCAATCCACTGAGCCCCACCAGCCAGGTCTATCTATTTTGAAGATAGTTTATTTATTTATTTACTTATTTATTTAAATATATTTTATTGATTATGCTATTACAGTTGTCCCATTTCCCCTCCCTTTACTCCCCTCCACCCTGCACACCTTTTCCCACCCACATTAGTTCATGTCCATGTGTCATACTTATAAGTTCTTTAGCTTCTACATTTCCCATACAATTCTTACCCTCCCCGTTTTGTTTTCTACTTCCCACCTATGCTACTTATTCTGTGTACTTTTCCCCCCTCTCTACTCCTCCCACTCCCCTGTTGTTAACCCTCCATGTGATCTCCATTTCTGTGGTTCTGTTCCTATTCTAGTTGTTTGCTTTTTGCTTCTGTTTTAGGTGTGGTTGTTAATAATTGTGAGTTTGCTGTCATTTTACTGTACATGTTTTTTATCTTCTTTTTCTTAGATAAGTCCCTTTAACATTTCCTACAATAAGGGCTTGGTGATGATGAACTCCTCTAACCTGACCTTATCTGAGAAGCATTTTATCTGCCCTTCCATTCTAAATGAAAGCTTTGCTGGATAGAGTCATCTTGGATGTAGGTCCTTGCCTTTCACGACTTGGAATACTTCTTTCCAGCTCCTTCTTGCCTGTAAGATCTCTTTTGAGAAATCAGCCGACAGTCTGATGGGAACTCCTTTGTGGGTAACTGCCTCCTTATTTCTTGCTGCTTCTAGGATTGTCTCCTTAATTGTAATTTTGGCTAATGTAATTATGATGTGCTTTGGTGTGTTCCTCCTGGGTCCTTCTTCTTTGGGACTCTCTGAGCTTCATGGACTTCCTGGAAGTCTATTCCCTTTGCCAGAATGGGGAAGTTCTCCTTTATTATTTGTTCAAATAAATTTTCCACTTGTTGCTCTTCCTCTTCTCCTTCTGGCACCCCTATAATTTGGATGTTGGAAATTTAAAGATGTCCGGGAGGTTCCTAAGCCTCTCCTCATTTTTTTTTGAATTCTTGTTCCTTCATTCTGTTCTGATTGTATGTTTCTTTCTTCCTTCTGGTCCACTCCATTGATTGGAGTCCCAGTTTCCTTCCCATCACTATTGGTTCCCTGTACATTTTCCTTTATTTCACTTAGCGTAGTCTTCATTTTTTCATCTAGTTTGTGACCAAATTCAGGCAGTTCTGTGAGCATCCTGATCACCAGTGTTTTGAACTGTGCATCTGATAGGCTGACTATCTCTTCATTGCTTAATTGTAATTTTTCTGTTTTTTCATTTGGGCCATTTTTTTTTGTCTTGACATGCCTGTTATGTAGTGAGGGGCAGAGCCTTAGGTGTTCACCCAGGCAGGTCAACCCAGTCACTGGGTTGTGATGCTGTATGTGGGGGAGGGGTCCGAGAGGGAACAATGGTGCTAGCTCCGCTCTCTGCCAGATTTTAGTCCCTTCAGCCACTTCCTCCAAGCAAACTGGGCCCTTGTGCTGATTCCCATTTGAATGGGCTTATGCTCATTCTAGGATCCTGTGGGTCTTTCCAGTGACCTCTCCTGTGAGGCTGGGAGTCTCTCTTGGCACCTCAACCTCCACAGGTGTTTTCAATCAGTGTTTTGAGGGTTTATTTCCCGGCACTGGAGCCCTGTGTTGTGTGGTCTGTCTCGCTTCCCAGTTTCGCCTGGTTGATCAGTCTACATGAATGTGTCTATTTTAACTCCTTGGTTGTCAGACTTCTGTACAGTTCAATTTTCTTTTAGTACTGGTTGTTTTTTTGTTTCTATATTTTTGTCGTCTTTATTTTGGTTGTGCGAGGAGGCACAGTGTGTCTACCTATGCCTCCATCTTGGTCGGAAGTTGAAGAGGCTTCTTTACTCCATTGTATGCGTTTGCCCCTTTGTCAAAAATTAATTGACCATAGACACATGGGTTTATTTCTGGGCCCTCTATTCTCTTCCATTGATCTATATGTCTGTTCTTATGCCACTAACATACTGTTTTGATTATAGTGGCCTTTGTAGTATAGTTTGATACCAAGTATTGTGATCCCTACTATGTTGTTCTTCATTCCTAAGATTGCTGAGGCTAATCAGGGTCTTTTTGAGTTCCTTATAAATTTTTGAAATACTTATTCTTGATCTGTGTGATATGGCATTAGTATTTTAATAGGTATTAGATTGAATCTATAGATAACTTTGGGTAGTATGGACATTTTAATGATGTCGATTCTTCTAATCCATGAATATAAAGTATACATCCTTTCATTTGTATCTTCATCAATTTCTTTCTTCAGTGTTCTGTAGTTTCTGAATAACGTCTTTTAATTCCTTAGTTAAATTTATTCCTAGGTACTTTATTATTTTTGTTGTTGTGTACTATTATTGTATGTTGCTAATGAAATTTTTTCCTAGTTTCTCTTTCCGATATTTCATTATTGTACAAAAATGCCTTTGATTTCTGAGTACTGATTTTGTATTCTGCTATTTTGTCAAATTGTTAGGTCAAGTAGTGTTTTTATTGGAGACTATAGGGATTTCTATATAAACTATGATATAATCTGCAAACAGTGACAGTTTTACTTCCTCCTTTCTAATTTGAATGCCTTTTATTTCTTTTTCTTGTGTAAACACTGTAGCTTGAACTTCTACTACTATGTTGAATAAGAATGGTGAGAGCGGACAACCTTGTCTTGTTCCTTATCTTTGGGGGGATACTTTTAGTTTTTGTCCCTTGAGTCTGATGTTGGCTGTAGGTTTCTCATATATTGTCTTCATTAGGCTGAGGTATGCTCCGCCTATTCCCACTTTCCTGTGTGTTTTATCATAAATGGGTGCTTGATTTTTATCAAATGCTTTTTCAGGTTCTGTTGATATGATCATATGATTTTTGTCCTTCATTTTGTTTATGTGGTGTAAAACTTGTACTGATTTATGAATATTGTACCATCCTACTATCCTTGGGATGAATCCCACTTGATCATGGTTTGTGATCTTTTTAATGTAGTTCTGAGTCCAGATTGCCAGTATTTTGTTGAGGAATTTGGTATGTATGTTCATGAGAGATATTAGCCTGTAGTTTTCTTTTATTTTGAGTCTAACCTTGTTTTGTAATTAGGATGATACCCCCTCATAAAAACAGTTTGGGAGTCTTCCTTCTTCCTGAATTTTTTGGAATAGTTTGAGGAGGGTAGGAGTTAATTCTTTAAATATTCGTTGAAATTCACCTGTGAAGCCATCTGATGCACGGTTTGTGTGCCGTGAGTTTTTAAAAACTGCTTCAGTTTCACTTGTTATCAGTCAATGCAGGCTTTCTGCTTCTTCTGGATTCAGTTTGGAAGATTATATGTTTCTAGAAATTTGTCCACTATGCCCAGGTTGCCCAATTTTTTGGCATAAAGTTGTTTGTAGGAATTTCTTACAATCATTTGTATTTTTGTGGTATCAGTTGTAACTTCTCTTTCGTTTCTGATTTTATTTATTTGGGTCCTCCTTTTTTCTTGATGAATCTGATTAAAAGATTTGTTGATTTTGTTTATCTTTCAAAGAACCAGCTCCTGTATTTATTGATCTTTAAAATTGATCTTTTAGTTTCTATATCATTTTGTTCTGTGCCCTGATCTTGGTTATTTCCTTCCTTCTCTTCTCTCTGGATGTTGTTGTTGATCATCCAGTTCTTTTAGATGTAAGGTTAGGTTGTTTGTGTTTTGTCTAACTTCCTGAGGCCTGTATTGCTGTGTCCCACAAGTTTTGGGTTGTTGTGTGTTCGTTTTAATTTGTTTCCAGACATTTTTTTATTTCTTCCTTGATGTCATTGTTGACCCCTTCTTTATTTAATAACGTTATTCAGTCTCCATATATTTGAGTGTATTTGAGTTTTTTCTTCATTTAGAATGTTATATTGTAACATTCTGCCCTTTGGCAGATTACCAGGGAGTTTGTTTCTTTGATAGAACCC